TTGGTGGCAGTCAGAAAAATCGCGCCTCTTGACCGTCCCTCTTTTTTTATTAGCTAGAAATCAAGAAACCGAAAAGTTCCATGTTCTTACAAAAGTGATGTTGTGCTTTTCTTACACTAACAGTTGTATACTATTATACTAACCCTTATAAGTATAACCGCAAATTTCTAGCTCGCTATAAGCTATAGTTCCCGAGAATTATCAAATTTAGCTTTCCTCACTCAATTTTTTACGCTTAACTCAACTTTCTCGCAAACCAAAGCTTATAGAGAGCTAGAAATTTACGGCTGCACTTCTAAGGGCTTGTAGTGTACAAATGTTAGGTGAGAGCGGCACAGCATCACTTTGGTAAAACATGGAAGTTTCCGGTTTCTTGATTTCTAGATAATGAAAAAATACGGCAATAGCACTTATGAGTGTCCGATATGGAGTGTATATGCGCGAGAGAGTGAGAGATCTATAGGACTTTTCTGAACGAAGATAAAAAAATTTCAATTTTTTGGACATCCGAAACTTTTTAGATTTTGGTTTCAAACTTGAGGTGGATCGAAGCCGTGCAAAAGCATAAACGCCGTCTTATAGAGCTTGCTTTGTTCTAGCGAATGGTATCCTAATGTCTATCATGACTTATAATAACAGGCTAAGGGTGTTTACGTGTTTGTTTGTGTGTGTGTGTGTGTGTGTGTGTGTGTGTGTGTGTGTGTGTGTGTTTGTGTGTGTGTGTCTGTAACGAAATTCACAGAACGAGTCGCAGACAAGGTTTCAAGCCGCAACTTTTTGCACAGCACGCACTGCCGCCATCCAGATTCACCATGCCAAAGCATGAGCAGATCCGTTGAGCAGGTCCCTCAAAAATGGCGCCCCAAACGGATCCACTCAACGTCTGGCGCGCAATAATTAGTCCGTATTACCACTTATTGCGAAGTCGTGATTATGTTTGGCAAGTGAATGTGTGAGCCATGATCTTTAGCCCAAAAATAGTGATGGAAGTCAATTACCTCACGAAAACGGCGCCAAAAACGAATGGTTTGCGTAAATTATTTGAACATTTGAGAAGATTTTTGTACAGGTAGCTCACCGTTGATATTATCCTTATGGCGACTACTAAGCCATGAAATAATTCAAAAGTGTTCTAATTCTGCATTTATTCTTTATTCTCTGAAGTTTCATCCGCAAAATACCGATCTCACACGAAAAAGCTTTTGGAATGAGTAGTTGTTTACGATTCATTCGTGAAAGCGGGCATTGCGCGTATGTTTCAGTGCTATATTATGCGGGAATGAGTATGGCATATAGATAGAACAGCCAGTGCGAGCCTCTGCGAAGCAGAGGTGACGCACTGGTTTATGTATTAGGTTGTTGCAAAAATAATGTCCGTTTTGCAAATTTTCACTCTGGAAGGCTATAATTTCGCTTAGTCTTCATATTCTTGAATGCGGTCAAGACCCTCAGAAACAGCAAACCTTTCGCATTTTAGCGCATATCTGCTCATACTGATATCGCAAACGGGAAGAAAACCATGCGTCAAATTGAATTTTTTCTTTTGAAAACCTCGTATTTGAAAGCTTATAACTCCTTTCAAGTTTTGTTCGTATGCCTGGCGATCAGCTTATTTTGTGGCCGCAGGACAATAGTATACACATGAATAGAAAAGACTCCAACGAAGGAGTTTCGCGAAAAGAAAAGATAAAAATTCCAAAATGTTCACTTTTTTGGGCTTACTTGTTGTAGGCTTGTAAGTACCAAATTATGAAAATTGGGAATTTTTCACGTACTGAATAGCTGAGTTTCTCTTCAAATATTGTGGACAAAATGTGCTAATCTCAAGCCTACAGAAATGGGAGAAGCTTTGACGATTGCCTTATCTATGAGAAATTTCTGACCCATAGAATGCCGGCAGCGAGTGTCTATTTCAACGCGTCAATTTCTAGTCCACATATCTCCAAAAATCTACATAAGTATGCAGCAGGTAAACAATCTTCACCTAATACATTTGCTATGTTTTCAGAAGAATTCGTTCATTTATTTTTCAATTGCGGTCAAGAAAGCGAAAGCTATGAAATTCCGATTTCAAGTGCGGGTGCGCAAAATGCTGCTGAAATTCTCACAGATGAGACTAGCAGCTTAATTCTATAATCGTTAGAAAGCACATGAAGAGAGCTTTCCAATGATATGCAAATTCTGTATCGAACACGAAAGTTTGATGGAAAAAGGTTGCTTGGAATATAGGCCTAAAAAACGGGCATTATTTTTGCAACAACCTAATATAAGCACGGTATGTCTTACTATTAGGTTGTCTGGAAATTAATGCCCGTTTTGACTTTTAACCGCAGTAAGTCATGCACTTCTCATTTGTAAATAGGTTGCAAAGTACCGTTCGATAGAGCAAAGCAAGCTCTACAAGATGGCTTTCTTGCTTTTGCAACAGCTCTCATCCACCTCGAGTTTCGAGCCAAAAACTAAAAAGACTCAGCAGCCCGAAAATCGAAAAAAATCGTAACTCAGTCCATAAAAATCCTATAAAAATTCTTACTTGCTCACGTAAACACTAATCACATAAGACATCTATATACGTTTTTGCTGCATTTTTTTCTCTGTTAGAAACCAAGAAAACGGAAATTTTCGTGCATTTGCCAAAGTGATGCTAAGCCATCCCCACATAGGTAGTTGTACACCACAAGCCCGTAGAGGTACAGACTTAAATTTTCAGCTCATTACAAGCTTTAGTTCTCGAGAAATTTGAGTTTTAGCTTGGGCCACCTAACTAGGAAGAGCTATATTCGGTAATTCTCAAGAACAAAAGCTTGTAGAGAGCTGAAAATTTCAGTCTGTACTTTTACAGGCTTGTGGTATACGACTAACTATGAGGGGATGGATGGCACAGCATCACTTTGGCAAATGCACGAAAATTTCCGTTTTCTTGATTTCTAACGGAAGAAAAAATACGGCAAAGGCGTATATAGATGTCTTATGTGATTAGTGTTTACGTGAGCAAGTAAGAATTTTTGTAGGATTTTTATAAACTAAGTTACGATTTTTTTCGATTTTTCGGGCTGCTGAGTCTTTTTAGTTTTTGGCTCGAAACTCGAGGTGGGTGAGAGCTGTTGCATATGCAAGAGAGCCATCTTGTAGAGCTTGCTTTGCTCTATCGAACGGTACTTTGCAACCTATTTAGAAATGGGAAGTGTATGACTTATTGCGGTTGAAATTCAAAACGGGCATTAATTTCCGGACAACCTAATATACCGAAAACTCAAAAATGAAAAGACTTATGGGACAACCTTATACAATGTGTCCCAAAAAAATGTTTCGAACATTTGATCGTTAATATCTCTCTTCCCAAGAAGTCTTTTGCCTTGCTTCAGGTGCCGTTTTGTAGAGCGGGTTTTAACTTAGATTTGCAGTATAAAACAAATCACTTATCTCTCTTCATTACTGTAGGATTACGGTAGAAACTTGAAACATATGGTGTCAATGTGGAAAAAGCTGCCGTTTCAAAATTTTTCAAAAATTGTGAAAACCTGTGTAATAGGGTTTTGTAGACGCTGAGTTCAATACTCAACTATTCACAAGATTACGAAGCTTTCTAAACGGTGTAATCCCACTTTTTAAGAGCATTGAAAAAATGGCCGCTACCTCTTACCTGGCATAACTCTTCAATGAAGCATCATAAGAAGTTGGGAACTTTATAGTTATAATCAGCAACTCTAATTAGCCTAGTGTTAAAGTTTTCAGGCTGTTTTGTTTTCTTTCTGGGGAAAAATATGGCCTTTTATTGCTTAAAACCCTCTTTGAAGTTTTTACCGTAATCCTACAGTAATGAAGAGAGATGGGTGATTCGTTCTATAAAGCAAATCTAAGTTGAAGCCAGCTCTACAAAACGGTACCTGAAGCAAGGCAAAAGACTTCCTGGGAAGAGAGATATTAACGATCAAACGTTCGAAACATTTTTTTGGGACACCCTGTATATAGGTTGATGCAAAATTCTTTCGCACCAAATTCAAAAATTCATCACTTGTTGAATTCTCAACGAATTTACAAGATCTAAATTTTGTATAAGATAGGAATGTTTACTCATGCTCTTTGCAGCTGTGCTTGAACTGTTCGTTAATGTGTACAAATGATGGAGATAGAAGCTCAAAACAAAATCACTCAAAATTTGAATTTTTCGTGTAGGCATAAAAAATCGGAAACGTGCACAAAAATCGGAGCAGTCGGTATTGTAGGTTCTTTCACCAGCTCTTTCTAACAGTGCAAAGATTGCGCCGATTGAGCGCCTCTACGAAAAGTTATGATTTCCCTGAAAAATGCCAAAATAGATCATTCGCCTTTTGTATTGCCTGCTCGAAAATCATAACTCTTCATAGAGACGCTCAATCAGCTCAATCTTTACACTGTTGGATAAAGCTTGTGAAAGAGACTGCTCGGATTTTTGTTGCAAGTTTCGGATTTTTATGACCCTACACGAAAAATTCAAATTTTGAGTGATTTTGGTTACAAGCTTCTATCTCCTTCATTTGTATACGTTAACGAACAGTTCAAGCACAGTTGCAAAGAGCATAGTTCCTCTCTTATACAAAGTTTAGATGTAAATTCGTTGAGGGTTCGACAAGTTACAAATTTTTGAATTTGGTGTGAAAGAACTTTTGCATCAACCTAATATAACCCAAACTTCATGGTGGGTTTTGGTTGCGGTGCGTGATTAAATGTGCGTTCTTTCTTGTTTGTTTGTTGTAAGCAACGCCAAAAGCGTGTTGAAAAGACAAATTAATAAACACTTTGATTATCTCAAATGTTTCGATCACTATAAGGTCAAGGGACCTAATTTGCAGATCGAATGCATGCTTAACACAACCGCCCTTCTATCATCAACATATTATAACGATGGACATTCTTCTTACATATTTATGCAGAGAACATTCACTACCAAGGCTCAAGTTTATCAACATGGAGTAGGTAGAACCAACACTATGAAATTCAGTATTCATTGTAATGAAATCCAGCTACTAAAAGGAGATTTTGCAGAAAATATTCAAATCTACACACTACGTGCAAAGAATCTGTGAGACCTGTATTGAGAACCATGACTGACAAATGCAAGCTGTAGAAACCAGCTAATCAATAAGACCCGAGTTTGACGTATAACAAGATTTGTAAAATTCTAAGAAAGTAAATTATCAGAATAAAAAAGTTCAAGGTGCACTCGTCGTTGCGTTCAATTGCGCCCAAGTTGGGAATTCCATCAATGGCATAAAGATGTGTGCGGCACTGTTCATGTAGGCGACTGTGATTAGAAGGCATTCTATCGAAATTATGGTGCCAATGGTAACCTGAATACATCAGAATTATGAGGAACATATGGAGGCTTCGAATTCTGAAGGATTGGCTGTAAATCCATGTCTAATATGCACCAGTATTTTGTTTCAAAGCACTATTTCTTAAAAGCAGTGTCCCGGCTGATTCGCGCCCTGGGGCTATTGCTATGATGGGTGGGTCCCGGGTCATCCCACTGACCTCCAGTCGCAGTCCGGCTGATTGATGTTCCCCCTGAACTGAGAAAATAGCCCTTGAAGCAGCGAGAGCAACCCCGCTCGGCGCGCGCTTGCGACTTCGCTCACCGTTTAGCGCGGGACCCCACGACCGCTCTCCCGCATTGTGCATGCTATCCAAAGAAAAAATTACAGGCAGCAGGTTCTTTGTGCCAGGGCAGGCCTCCCAGCTTTCCATTGAAATTCTCGTCCGAGCTGCCTTTTGGAAATTGGGTGAACGCTCCGAAAAGGTCTTTCCATGTTTTGAAGCTCAAATTCGGGGTCTACAGGTCGAAAAAATGCAAAAAATGGAAATGCAAAATCTGCCGGGACACTGCCTTCAATTTATTTGGAAAATCTTTGAAAAAACTGACCATGTCTTTCACTTTAATCATGCCAGATCCAAACACGATTGCGTTTGGAGGTGTACCGACAGGCAAAACAAAAGCAAACGAACAAGCGAGAGTGGCTGGTAGCATCAGTGAGAATGGGTGGTGTTCCATTCCCACGGCCTGAACACTTAGTATTTTATGGATTGAGAACTTTAACTTAGGTTTAAACGTCCTCACCAATGTCCCAACTATCGGAACAAATATCGTGGCTGTTACAGTATTGCTGCAGATATTGGTTATAGCCATACATACGACCATGACAAGCATTTGCAGGACCCACACGGGTAAGTGATCAAGTGATTGAAGAGATTCACCAATTATGTCCGACAGCTTAGCTTCCTTCACACCTGCAAAAGAGATATAGGTGAATTTAATTTCCGCTGTTGACATAAGGCTGGGTTCATACTGATTCGAAAGTTCCGGAACAATTCCAGCACAATTATCGAACTGTTTTGGAACTTTCGGATCAGTATGAAAGCAGCCTAAGGAGTTCAAGCATTTCACAAATCGCATGTCTTTTGCTTATAAATTTTTATATCATTTCCTTATACATTTTCACTTCGTGCATTTCCTTGAACATCAAGTGTCTGCTGTAACAGCAGTGAGGCTCGTGAAACTACGTATGTAGGTTGCAAGCCACTTGAATACCGTTCGAAACCTGGTACCTACAACGTACGCAATACAGACATCCTCAGCAGTTCGCAGATTGGGTAATGAACGCTGAACGATTTCGCGAAGCGCGGAAATTTGAAATACAGTGCTGGCCATAGCTGCCACCCTAAAAATCACTGTAATTTGCTTTCTTTTGTGCGAAATTGTCTGAAAAACCGCCATTCTGTGCGCAAACTAAAGTCATATCATTGACCAGAACGGCTCCCAATTTCATTGGTTTTGGCAGGAGAAAAATTGAAAATTTTAAAAAAAGGGGCTCACAAGGCTGGTCACAGCTATAAAGCCACCTCTCATTTCCAATCAGTACTAGGTTTTTTGGACCTGAAATTTTTTGGGCATATACAGCATCAAAATGTAAAACATTTGTTACACTTGAAAGCAGTCCCCTTTTCAAAAAGGAGATTCATCCTGCTTCAAAATGTATAAAAAGTTATGATGTCTGAAAAAATTGCCTTTTCACCGAATTCTCAAGCATTTGTTTGACTCGAATGAAGGTCCTAGGCTTCGCCGAGCCTTTGCAATGAGTATGGCGAAAAGTGCTGGACCCAACATTGCCTAGTCGCTGATCTTGATAAACGAGCCTCATCTACCGAGGGTAAGCACGCTTCCGAGACGCAAAACTCAATTTCTGACGCGCGAAAATTTTCGGTTGGAAGTTGACATCTTGTTTGCATGGTGATGTACTCATGCAGAAGCTGTCAGGCTTTTTACAAAGACATACTAGCAGCACTGAACTAGGACGCTTTGTCTGCAGTTCGGTTGTGCGCAGTGTATCTCACATGACTTCAAATTTTACTGCTTTGAACTCCTCTTTGAGTCGAATCTTACAAAACTGTCACGAATACTAGAGTTTTGAAGTTTTGAGCGGTTTTAAACCCGATCGAGAGGTCAGAGTGTGTCATGATCAGGCAGAGTGCACCACTCATTCTTAGAAAAAAGCGTCCAAGGCGGAATCAAAATCCTGAGAGTTGCGATGAAGTTCAAGCTTGCGCACGAGTCTACGGTTGTACAGGCGATGTGCTGAGCACCTGACAGAGCTTTTCGGGCATTAGAACTCAATTTCTGCGGTTCGAAAATTCGTCTACCTGGAAATGAGGTTGAGGCTCGTTTATCAATATCAGCGACTACGCCATGTTGTCTCCTGCGCTTTTCACCATATTCACTGCGAAGGCCCGGCGAAGCCTAGGACCTACATCCAAGTCAAACAAATGCTTGAGAATTCGGTGAAAAGGCAGTTTTCCAAACATCATAACGCTTTATACTTTTTATACATTTTGAAGCAAAAAATGCAGGATGAATCTTCTTTTTAAAAAGTCGACTGCCTCCAGGTGTGGTAGATGTTTTATATTTTGATGTTGTATATGCACAAAAAATTTCGGGTTTAAATACGTAGTACTGATTGGAAATGAAGGGTGGCTTTAGAGCTGTGACCAGCCTTGGGAACCCTTTTTTCAAACTTTTCAATTTTTCTCCTGCCAAAACCAATGAAATTGGGAGCCGTCCTGGTCAATGATATGACGTTAGTTTGCACACAGAATAGTGGTTTTTCAGACAATTTCGAACAAAAGAGAGCAAATTACAGTGATTTTCAGGGTGGCTTTATAGTTGTGGCCAGCACTGTAGCTTAGGTAAAAAAGCAGTCTGTTCACAACAAATAGCCAATGATACAAAATTCTAGTTCGTATAAGCACAACCTGTAATCAAAAAATATATAAATCAACTTATGTGAGAAAGAAGTGCCCACATTTTTTTGCGAATCAGTTGCCAAAAGTACGCGTGCGTCGGCAATTAGATTCTCATTTTTTACGATTCATACTTGAGTGTAATGTAAGGTATTAGGTTGCTGCATAATTCCTGCACCGAAATAGGTACAGACCGCAATAATCCGCAACAATCCTATATCCCAAATAGGATTCGGTACATCACTAGATAGAGGAAACCTAGCTCTCCAACCTAGTGCTTAAAGGTTTGCAGCAGCTTTGATGCAAGCGAAGATTGAAGCCAAAAACCAAAAGGAGATCCAAGCACCCCAAAAAACCACGAAAAAATTGGAATTCCGTTTAGAAAAATCCTTCAAAATTCCTAACGTGCTCATGCATTGTCATTCGTGTAAGACATTTTTCTATGCAGTTGCTGTATTTTTCTCTCAGCTAGAAACTGAGAAAACGAAGTTTTTTTATGTTTTTTTTTCAAAAGTATGCTGAGATGTTCTAGCACTGACAGTTGCATACTATAGGACCTTAGAAGCGTGAGTGTGAATTTTCAGCTCTTTACAGCAGCTGGTTTACGAGAAATATCGAATTTTTAGCAAGTAGGCAAGAAAAATTCGGATAAGGAGAGCTAGATTCGTCATTTCTCGTGAACTAGCAGTTCTAGAAGGCTGAAAATGTAAAGTTTCACTGTAAACGGCATGTACTATACAACTGTTGGTGCTGGAACATCTCAGCACTAATTTGGCAAAAACATGAAAATTTCGTTCTCTCATCGTCTAGCAAAATAAAAAAATACAGCAACCACATAGATAAATGTCTTACGTGAAACGTCTACGCGTGAGCAAGCAAAAACCTTTTGTAGGAGTTTTTTTTGACGGAGTTACAGTTTTGTATTGACTGGTCATTAAGGTTTTCGAACGCATGGTTTTTTTTTCAGTTTTCGGCTCAAAACTTCGCGTGGATCAAAGGTGCAGATATTTGAGCACTAGCTTGTAGAGGGTTTGCTCTATTCAATGATATATCGAATCCTATTTGGGATATAGGATTATTGCGAATTACTGCGGTCTGTACCTATTTTGGTGCAGGAATTATGCATCAACCTAATACTTTTAACGTTTTTGGCTTTTCTCTCGCAGCTCCAATCACTATTTGTGTTAACTG